CATGCACGCACATGCACACACGTGTAGAGCACACTGGTCTTCTTGTTATTTAACCTAGCTTTAATTTAATCCTAGGTCAAAATGGATCCATAATCTTCTAGGGCTTTTGGTTTTCCTTCCTCCAGCCTTGGTCTGTTGTCTCCTCTCCACCCTCCTGCACTGAGGGTGCTAACAGGAGGCCCGAGCCACCCCGATACCTTATTCCCTGTATCCAGGCTCGCGCCTTCTCTCCCTTCTCCACCGGGAACCCCCACAGCAGCTGCACAGCTTCCCCCTCCTTTTCAGTTACAAACCCCAGCCCTTCTGAAGCGCTGTTCAAAGCACTTTCATTTCCTTTCCATTTGATCGGACAAATTTTTCATCAGTGCAGCTCCGTGACGGGCGGCTGCATGAGGGCTGTGCACAGGAGGCCCAGAGAGTCCCTGAGGCCACGGCCCTAACCACGCGGGGACAGAGTTGAGTCTGGAGCGCAGGGCTGGAAGTGCCACGTCCTGGTGTCCCATCCAAGGGCCCTACACTTCCTCCTGAGCCTCTTCCACACCTGCTTCCGGCTGTGCCTCATCCCTGCTTGATGTGGGGGGCTCCTAGTGTAGTGGCAGGCAAGGGAGACGTGTCCAAAGGATGAGAGTGGAGGAGGCTGTGAGGTGTGAGCAGCCTGCCCATGTCTGGATGGCCCACTGCCTACCCATGCCCCTGGGGTGTTGTTACAGGGACCTGTGAGCTCAGTCTTGCACCCCACTCCTCCCTTCCGACCTGAGCCTCCAGAAGGAGCAGTGTGAGCAGTGAGAGCCTCTCCATGGCTCCCCTTCTCCAGGGAGAGCAGGGTCATCACCTTGACCTCTCCTCACTGCCCATGGTGATGCCTCAGTGCCTTTTACCCCATCTCTACAAACTCAGACGTCCAGGCAAGCCCTTGTATGACACCGCAGTCATCCCACTTCTACATTTTGTGCCTCCCCAAACTTGGGAAGGCAAGTGGCATCATGCCTTTCCAATTTGTGCACCATCCCAGACTCACAAGGAAAACCGTGCATCTTTAACATGCCAGGGTCTGCCCTCTATTTTTGACCTCGCCTCCCACCTGCCTTCTCCCTCTTGGCGCATCTCTGTCTTCTCATGTG